CCACCACCCTGAACTCGCCTGCCCTCTATCCAACCCCCCCGCTCCCTGCCCCCTTACCGCAGCCTGGATCACTGGTGGCTGGCAGCGCTACAGCTGTTCCGCCTGGCTGGAGCTGGGCCACACCGCCACCACCACGCAGCACAGAGCACCGCAGCTGCGCTGCCCCAGGAGCTCACAGCCCAGAGCATTGCGCCGGCGGCAGAGCGAGTGAGCTGAGGCTGCGGGGGAGGGAAGACAGCAGGGGAGGGGTCGGGGACGAGCCTCCCAGGCCAGGGGCTTGGGGGCCGGGCAGGATGGTCCCACGGGCCATAGTTTGCCCACCTCTGAAATAGCTCAAATGCAGAAGTGATTCCTAAAGAACATCATCTTATTGCTTCTTTGTAAAAGAAGGCAATACGCTTGGGTAAAAATGCCATCCGGGCTAAACAAATTTCTCCATGTGACAAAGTTTAACCATAAATTTTCAGTTTGTGTAAATATGCAGCTTTGAATGTGTAAGCGGCAAAAAGAAGGGGAAAGTTCCCCCCCCCATCTTTACCCATTCTGGGCATACAGCCAAAGAACTGATAACAGCTGGTTTGTTTTTAAACATCTTACAGTCATATAACAGCAGCTGTTTGAGATTTGTTTTAGCTACAAAAGAAGTAAGTGGTAAGTTCTTAGCTTTTGGTAACATCTGGAAGGTTTAACTGTAATTTTGGTAAGATCTAATCAAATAAGATTTGTAAATGCCAGCTGTGGGATAAATAATAACCAAGTACCCTCCCCCATCCTCCTCTGTATGCTTAAATTGAAATATGTTTTTTGTGACATTATGAACAAATGTCTGATCGTAGGCAGAACTGGTTAACAGAAAAAGAGGGATTATGTTGTGGTGATTAGGCCTACAAATGTACCCTAATTGGGAGCTCAACAGTAAAAAGTGAGTGAAGGTTTATAAATGGTCACAATAGCCACTTACAATAAATGCTGATGGGAAAAGGTACGAATGGGAGACAAAGACTGACTTCGTCCAAACAGAAAGGACTACTGAGAATTCAAGGATTGTGTTTCAAATCATGCTGGCAAACAAGAGAAGCATGGGACTGGAAATCAATAAACCAAAATTGGTGTGTTAGAAATTAGGCCTAATTGGTGGATAAAATAATGAGTGGATGGACTATTTTGCCCATCAGTCCCTTTTGGGGTTCTTAAAAACAGAGACCATAGGGGAAAAGCTGGGTGCCAGAACACCGACTGACTGAAAGATGAGAGAAGGGGAAGGAGCGAGCTTCACCATCATACCTGCTGCCCCATGGTCTCCTGGGACCCTGGATCTTCATCCTAATCCTGAAAGGTGTCCTGACCAGACTAGGCCAAAAAAGAGGGAGCCAGAAGATATAGTCACCTCTACCTGGCCAGGGCCAGCTCTAGGTTTTTTGCCACCCCAAGCAAAAAAAATTTTGACTGCCCCCCATCCCAGCCCTGGGCTCCTCACTGGACCCCCCTGCTGCCCCAGCCCTGGGCTCTCTCCCCCCGCACCTGCACCCTCCTGTCGCCGCAGCCCTGGGTCACTGTTAACTCGCTCCCACGGCAGGTCATTCAGCAGGAATTTTAGATGTGCACAGAACACAGACAGGATTGGTTCCCATATGGTTACAGAACTGCAGTAAAGTGGAACAATTTTCAGCTTGTGTGACTGGAGGATATCTGGATGCATATTATAAGACTGTCCTACATAAATGAAGAAAAGTTGAGGTGCCTTTATTATTCTTTTGTTCCTCTCTTTCTTTCTATGGGGAATTTGCCAATGCAATATCACTGTCTTCCTTTTAAACAAACAAACAAAAAAGACAATGGCTGTTGAAAATAGCAATTCCAGTCCTAATAATCACTGGGAAGCATTTCTTGCTCAATTTTATCCTACTTTTTCTACAGCAAGTTACAGTGGATCAATATATTTGATTTGGGAGAAATGAAGTAATAGCTGCCCAAACTGAGCTTGAGCACTCCTGAATTTTGAGGTGTTCAAATCTGGAAGGCAGGTGCTGGGGGGGAGGTGGGGGGAGGGGGCTGTGGCTCTGCGGGGGAGCACGGCAGCATGTATGCAGCAGTGTCTAGCGCTGCGCGGAGCCAGACACGCTGGTCTGAGTGTCACGGTAAGGGGGTTGGGGGGTTGGATGGGGCGGAGGTTCTGGGGGGGCAAGGAGAAGGGGGGGTTAGATGGGGCAGGGGTTGGGGGGGCAGTCAGGGGGCAGGCAGCGGTTGGATAGGCATGGGAGTCCTGGGGGCTTGTCAGGGGACAGGTAGGGGGTGGGGTCCTAGGGGGGGGAAGTCTCAGGAGGGGGCAGTTGGGGACAAGGAGAAGGGAGGCTTAGATAGGGGGTGGGATCCTGGGGGGCAGTTAGGGGCAGGGGTCCTAGGAGGGGGTGATCAGGGGACAGGGAGCAGGAAGGGTTGGATGGGTTGGGGTTTCTGTGGGGGGCAGTTGGAGGGAGTGGATGGTGGCAGGGTGGGGCTACCCTCCCTCCCCATGGAGTGTCCTATTTTTTGAATGTTAAAATATGGTATCTCTGCCCTTCCCAGTGCAGCTCTCCATTCACTGCAGCATGAGGTCTCAGCTACCTCCCTCCCTCCCCCTCTTTCCTGTTGGTAGTGGCCAAGGGAATGCTGGGAAATGTAGTTCTTTCCCTGCTTGAGGGCTGGCTCTATAGGCAGGGAGCTAACCAAGGAACTACAGCTCCCCTGTTGGTTCTCAGCTCCCATGCTGGATACCTGCTGCCCCTGCAAATGGGCTGCCCCAAGCACGTGCTTGCTTTGCTGGTGCCTAGAGCCGCCCCTGTACCTGGCTCCAGCTAAATCCCAACCACTACTTGGGATGTGAGAGTTTATCACACCCTGCTCCTCCAACTCTGTGTATTCTTTTCCTTCCCCCACCTTATTTCCTCTCCCTCTCCTTTTGCCTTCTGTCTAAGAGGAGTCTAATTTAGCTGGCAAAAACTGTATATTTTGCAACCCTGCTGAGAGCCTGTGACCAGAAAGAGGCAGTTAAAAGCAATGCCTAAATAGCCTGATGCTGGTGTAAGTTTGCCAGGTCTCGGAGTGACTGATGAGACTGTGTTGTGCCTTCCTTTTTTTTCAGCAGCGAGGTTGCAAGTGAGATTCAACATCAGAGATAGAAGCCGCATTTTCTATCTCTGCTGTTGTTTCCTCTCCCCTTTTGTGTGTTTGTGTCTTGTTTTGTCTTCTAGGAAATGGGGTTGAACTTCAGCAACAACAGCCCATCTGTTTAAACCCCCCCAGCCCATCTCAACTAACTTCCTCCCATTTCCCCCAAAACGACAGTGATTACTATCTTTGATACCATCTAAAAGACTGTCAGACAAGGGGTTTCCTCCTAAAAACTTTACGGCTAAAAGGAAAGAGAACAAGGGATGATGTTAAAATGAAAGCTTTACTTAAGACTTTACATTTCTGTCTCCTGAACTGTTACTGGGTTATCCATTGGCGGATGGTAACTTATTAAAGGTGCCATGGATTTCTTTTTTTTTCTTTAGGGGGGAGGGATAGCTCAGTGGTTTGACATTGGCCTGTTAAACCAGGGTTGTAAGTTCAATCCTTGAGGGGGCCATTTAGGGATCTCTGGCAAAAATCTGTCTGAGGAGTGGTTCTGCTTTGAGCAGGGGCTTGGACTAGATGACCTCCTGAGGTCCCTTCCAATCCAGATATTCTATGATTTCAAATAATGCAAATTCCCCCCCATTCTTTTCTGTATCTTTAATAAAAGGTTAACAAGATTTTTAATTATGGATTTGCCATGGTACTATGCAGGCTGATGTCTCTGTATATCAAACCCCAAGTCTTGTTTAACACTGTTTAATGTTGGACTGTGACAATATCTTAACACTTTTGACTCTTTGGGCCCATTTATTCCATCCAAACTAATGCAACACCTCTCGCTCCTGTTAGCCAGAAGCATCCTTCCCTTCAGCCAATATCCAACTCTCTATTTTTTTTTCCAAATCCTGATTGACAAACTTCCAGGGAGATGTAAACCCTACCCAGGCTGCACTTCCTTCTCCTTTCTTGAAGGGGACACTGTGGGCAGGGAGGCATCGTAAGGAAGTCATTGGTGGGAGGAGAGACAAACGGAGATTCAGCAGGTTCAGAGTAGAGAAGACAAGCGTGGGGTGTCCTACCAAGAGTGCTTCATATGTTTTATTAGTTAATTTTGAATATAGGAAATGTAGTCCAAGAGGACAGAACTGTGAAAGAAGATTTGCAAGACAATTACATTTGTTGTAGTATTAGTCATAAATGGAACCAGGGTAGCCTGATTCTTGTTTATTTTGTATTTCTGATAATGAGAGAAATTTGACACTGTCAATCTATTTAAGTTTATATTCATGTTTATTTCAAAACAGTTTTTTAATGGGTGTATCAAAATATTCAGAATCCCTCTGGTTGAAATCTTAACACTACCTCTACCTCGATAGAATGCTGTCCTCGGGAGCCAAAAAATCTTACCGTGTTATAGGTGAAACCGCGTTATATTGAACTTGCTTTGATCCACCGGAGTGCGCAGCCCCGTCCCCCTGGAGCACTGCTTTACCGCGTTATATCCGAATTCGTGTTATATCGGGTCGCGTTATATCGAGGTAGCGGTGTATTTGAATATAGAACCAAATCTTGGTAGTTTAACATCACCTGAGTCATCTCATTCACTTCTGCTAGGTCTAACCGACTTTGCTTGGACCACACAGATAAGTGTTTTTTTTTTTTTTAATAGAATTTGGCCTCAAGCCTTTTGCTTTTAATTCTGTTAACCTTTGTTTTTTCATATATTTTCCAGTTTTGATCACATGGAACTGATTCCACTCTCACACCATTATTAGTCAATTTAACTTTGGTGTAAGAGAAGAGCCAGAATTTATATTTTCCAGGGATGTCTCTCTTTTCTGTGACTTAACACATACACTTGAAAGAAAATCATAGAAAAAAATAACACCTACTGTATGTACCTTTGAAGTTTCGTGTCTCAGATTAAAAGTCAGTTCTAGATTGGTGAGAAAGAGATCAGAAAATTCAGGATACATATCCAAAACCTCTAGTAGGTCTTCTCGCTGGATCTTATGCAAGTCACAGTAGGTTAAAGCTCTCACATCTGCATTTGATTTCCCTGGTTTTGCATAAAGATGTACCATCTCTCCAAAAATATCATTTTTACCTGCAAAAACAAAATCAGACAGATTATTTTAATTATGAGAAATCCATTAAAATGAATGCACCCATAACTCTTTAAGAAACTTATACTATGGGATATGAAGTTATAAAACCTGATTATCCTGATTTACACTGGTGTATGTAAGAGGAGTAATTCCATCAAAATCAATGGAGTTACACTGGTATAAAACCGGACTAAGTGAGAGGAAAACCTGGAAATTTTTAAACTCTGTTTTGAATCAGTTCTGCATTATTCCTGCCATAACAGAATACATGCAGAATTTCTACTAGCCCCTTCTTGTAACAAAAATATAATCTAGAGTAGTAAATAATATTCCTGATAATGATATTTTATACTACAGTAGTGCCCAGAGCTCCCAATCTGGATTGAGACCACATTGTGTTAGCAAATGTACAAATATATATGATGACATAGTCCTTTCCCCAAAGATCTGCAATGGAAGAAGCTGACTCAATTTTCAATGTTAGAATTAATTTTGAACAGTAATTCAATACCTCAAGAGACAGAAGCCCCATAAACAGAGCTGTTTTCATGCTGATACTTTTACAACTCTGCTTTCCTTCAACCTTGACACATTTACAGTATTTATTACTAACATTGTCATCAGTAATGTACATGCTTGTTTTTCCAAAATCTGCATCTGATCTTTCATAGCATATGTAGTGTGAGGACATAGACACAAAGAACCATGCCTTAAGCAGTAACTAGAGAACCCTCATTTATTAAGATCCCTGCTGCATCCTGATCTCTGGAAGCTGTGGAGGACCAGGAACTCTGTAATCACTTCACACTTTATTCAGGCAAAATCTCCATTGCATGCAGTGAGGTATGTGGGATCAGGTCTTCAGATTGAAATGGGTCCAGAATTCATCTCCATTATCTGTCTTTCAAAAATGTACAAAGATTTTGGCCAACATGTTCAGGTTTGAACTTTGATTTTGGGTGCCCATCTTGAGACACTTTGTACCTTGTTATCAGAAGTGCTGAGCACCCATAGCTCCAATTTACTTCAAAACAAAGTTGTGGATGCTCAGCTCCTCTGAAAATAGGGCCCAGAGTGTTTCAAGCTGGGTACCCAAATTCAGTGAATCAGCAGCTATTTAGGAAATCTTGGCCTTTGTTTCTTCCCTATAATCCCTTCTTCTGCAAGGCACAGAGGGGACAAAATGATCACAAACACCCTTCAGCTCTGGCCTGGAAAGAGGTAGCAATGAACCATCATACAAACCTTGCCGACCCCCCCTCCCAATATACTGCATGGTTGGAGTTCTGAAAATTTGGGGGGAATGGCAGTCCAGAGAGGGAGGAACTGGGAGCAGTCCAACTACGTAGCATTATACTTTCCAGGACTACTGTTTTTTCCATTATAATGCTGAACTGCATTATCTCCCCCTGAGAAAAGGGTTAGTTTGCCGCTGCAATCAGATCCATAGTGATCGCATGGCTTGGCTCTTGAATGACCTGCTGCTAGGAGGAAGGGGCTTGGGGAGCACCAAGGAGGGACTGACTGTCCAGACCCCCCTCACATCTAAGGGTTTCATTGAGGATTTGGGGACATATGCACTGGGCCGGTGCTTCCACTAGGCGACCCTAGGCGGTCGCCTAGGGCAGCAGGATTTGGGGGGGTGGCATTTTGCCGCCCTCGGCAGAAATTTGGCAGCGGCGGGTCCTTCTGCTCCGGGTCTTTGGCGGAAATTCAGCAGCGGGTCCTTCACTCGCTCCGGGACCTGCCGCTGAAGTGCCCCGAAGACACGGAGCGGAAGGATCCCCGCCGCTGAATGCTCAGAGGAGGAGCGATGCCGCCTAGGGCGGCAAAAACCCTGGCGCCGCTCCTGCATATGCACAGTGCAGAGGGCTTTGGCCATGCCACTTGTGTGTGGCTGCAAACCTTTCCCAGTGGAGGGAAGGATGCATCAACAGGAGGTTTCCATTTTCCCTCCTGTGTGCTTTTCTGCAGGAGGCAATAGTAGGGCCCAAGATGTTTTTGGCAAAATGTTGTTTATCTTTATTTTTTTTCAATGAGGTTTTATTGCAGGCTAATTTCATGCAGGCTAATTTAAACCAGCCCATCATTCTGACCAATATTGTTTTATTGTTGACTTGTACTCTCCCATCTGTTTATATTCTTGCTGTCACAAACCCTTATTGACCAATGCAGCAGCAAGCAAGCATAAAGGCCTATCATTTGCATAGCACAATAGCCAATAAAATAAAAATAATTCCCTCATTTCTTTTCTTGACTGCGAGGACTACAATTATTTTCACATATTTTAAGATGGTCTCCATGGAATAGATTGAACACTCTACTGGAAGGTGTTCTAGAAGCTCCACATGGTTCTCCTTCTAGTTTCCTGGCGTTATTCCTTCCAGAGGGATAGGGTTGCAATAAGAGTAGGAGTCTGTTATACCACAAAACCTCTGTGGCACTCAGGTAATATAGGGAGGACATTTGTCTCAGCACTAGCCTCTCTCTCCCCTCTGTTTTTTCTGTTGGGGTTTGATCTTGCTCCCAGTGAAGTAGATGACAAAACTTCTATTGACTCCAGTGAGGAAGGTTAAAACTTTTTGTTCTACACAACTCCATTGTAATTAAAGATAGGTGACATTTTTTGCATGAAACAATTTTTGGTGAAAAATGCAGATTTGGCAACACCGAAACATTTCATGAATTCTTGTCAAAATTGCTTCAGTTGACCCCTCCCCTCCAAAATTCCCCAAAATCAAAACATTTAATTTCAACATTTTCTAAATGAAACACTTCACTTTTAAAATTCAAAATGACTTTTTGGTTCAACATTTCCTTTAATTCTGTTAAAAAACCCAGTGAAAAATGTTTAAAATCCTCAAAATTGAAATGAAACATTTTGTTGAACTCAAAATAATTTTTTTTTTACTTTTACATTTTTCAAAATTTCGTTTGTGTTTTGATGCAAAACAATTTTTCCTCCCAATTTTTTGGAATTGCCAATGCATGGAAAAATCCATTATTCACCCATCTCCAATTGTAACCTCACCTCTAAGGATTCTGTCACCAGCCAATGCCATAGGACTGACTCACAGGAGGGGGAAGTGCCTACATTAATGCTGTGTCAATAATATTAACTTAGGCAGGGATTTATGTTGGAGTTGATCAGGGAAAATTCTAAATGCACAGGCAGCTGGGCTCTTTGGTGCACAGGGATTCTCCACTCCCTGCATGGACTCTCCAGATCCTAACCTTTCCCCGTAGAGCAAAGTCACTTGTGATACGGACAGGCCCCCTTCCTGCCCATGAAGTGAGGATATTATGTAGGTGGTGCTGCTAAATTAGTCATTGAGAAGCTTGATTTTAAATTGACTGTATCATTCACAGGGTACACGAACCAAATATGGCAATGGACCTTTTCAGTCTGCTGTTCTGTAGTTTGTGCTAGCAGAAAGATGACATTCCATCTCCTTAGTTTGCAAATACATACCAAGAATGGCTACAACAATGTCATTCTTGAGGATTTCAATGGAGCCTCTTGACAGGAAGTAAAGAGCTGTGAGAACATCACCACCGTGGACTAAGGTGTCACCAGGAGGAGCATGGGTTGTCTTAAACTTCATAGCTAAAGCTCGGAGACAACCTTTACTGGCCCCCTGGAAAGCTTTGCAGTTCTGAAGCAAGTTTTGGTTCAGGTGTAGACAAATGTCAGCTTGTAAGCATTCTGGAAACCCCTTTAGGACCTGAAGAGAAAAATGAAAGAGTTTCACATCAATACTATGCAAATAATTTTAAATAACTTGTAATGTTTTCTTTGTTCCCAATATGAATGCATTGACATAAAAATAGTGGTGAGTAGCAAGGCTGTTCAGAATACAGTAACTCCTCACTTAATGTTGTAGTTATGTTCCTGAAAAATGCGACTTTAAGCGAAACTATGTTAAGCAACTCCAATTTTCCCATAAGAATTAATGTAAATGGGGGGGGGGGGTTTGGGTGCAGGGAATTTTTTTCACCACAAAATGTATACACAGTATACGTTTTAAACAAACAATTTAATACCGTACACAGCAATGATGATTGTGAAACTTGGTTGAGGTGGTGGAGTCAGAGGGTGGGATATTTCCCAGGGAATATTTAGCCTTACTGCTAAATGATGAACTAGAACTTGGCTGAGCCCTCAAGGGTTAACACATTATTGTTAATGTAGCCTCATACTCTACAAGGCAGCACGAATGGAGGGAGGGGAGACAGCATGACAGACAGAGACACACACCCTGTGTGTGTGTGTGTGTGTGTGTGTGTGTGTGTGTGTGAGAGAGAGAGATGCACATTGCCCCTTTAAGTACGCTGAACCACTCTAAGTAGATTGCCTTTTTAAGTAGACCAGGAAGTTGAGACAGCAGCTGCTGCCAGCACGCTCACTCCCTCCCTCCCTCTGTCCTGAGCCCTGTCATGTTCTACCCCTGCTCTATGGAGATGGGGTAGGCGGGGTGCAGGAGCAGGGGGGAGGGGGACACACTGATATTAGCCCCCACAGCAAGCAGGAGGCTCCCGGGAGCAGCGCATGGCAGTCGGGGGAGGGACAGCTGAACTGCCGGCAACTGATAGCCTGCTGAGACACGGCCGCACAGGGAACTTAGGGGAGAGAGGAGCTGATAGGGGGGCTGCCGGTCCACCCGGGTTCCAAGCCCCCACCAGCCAGCTCCAATGGGCTGCTCTTTCTGCAAGCAACGGACAAAGCAGGCAGCTGTCAAACAACATTATAAGGGAGCATTGCGCAACTTTAAATGAGCATGTTCTCTAATTGATCAGCAACGTAACAACGAAAGAACGTTAACCGGGACGACTTTAAGTGAGGAGTTACTGTATTTTCAATTCATCCAATTTAATGAATGTGTAGTTTGATCAAAATATGGGATCAAATAGGTGTTCTCTATATCATTTAATTTGAGTACTAGCAGGGTCTCTTGAAAGTGTAGTGCTAGGGTGACCAGATGTCTCGATTTTATAGGGACAGTCCCGATTTTTGAGTCTTTTTCTTATATAGGCTCCTATTACCGCCACCCCCTGTCCCGATTTTTCACATTTGGTGTCTGGTCACCCTATTTAGTGCCCACGCACGATTTTTTTTATTTCTTGCATTACAGGAAATGTAATCAGAACATGTATGAATATATTGCAACAGGATAACGATAAGATATAACTAAGCTTGGAAGGATTAGATTTTTATAGGTAAAGGTCACTAAATGTCGATTTCACCATACACACTCTGACAAAAAATATTTCCATTGATAATAATCAAAATTTACAAGTAGGTGAAGTAAGAAAAATGCTGCTTGAGAACTTAGAGTTTGGTTTAAGTACACTTACTTTGTATATCTTGACCTGTGATGTTGGCTATTTGTGTTTTAATGATTACAAGGCTTTAACTTTTTGACTCTCAGGGTCTACAACAATTATTGTCTGACCCCCCATTATTTCCCACAACTGAAAATTTAAATAGATAAAAATAGGGAAAAAAGATTAAAACCTATAATTTTGCATAACTGTGAAAATTTAAATTGATAAGTATTGTTAAATATATTTAATTTAGAAATGTATAGCCCAGATCCTCCATAGCAAATCTGTATACTCCATTCAAGCCAGATTTACACAAGCTGAGGATCTGGCCCATAAACTGCAGGTACTTGCTTATTTGTTATTCAGGTTCACTGGAGTTTACCTGAACTAGAACCTCAGGATTCCCCAAAGATACAATGTTAATTTTGTTCATAGAATGAAGACTAGGATTTTGCTTACAACTTGGTCATTATGGGCGCGAGATTTGCTAAATTGATCAGCCTTAACCTTTGTTTCGTCTGAAGGTAATGGAAGTTTTACCATTCATTTCAATGGAAACAATGCCCACCCATTGAGTAAACTCATTGTATTCAGAAACAGGACTCACACATAAGTTACTATGCACTGTCCACTTCTTGGGCCACATCCTTCTTATTTTTCACTTATGCAGAGAATCCCATTGAAGTTAATGGGCCAAATTCTTTTTTATTGCACAGTTTTCTTTGATTTCAGGGGGAGTTGCATATACATATCTGAATTCGACACAATGGGACTAATCATATGAGTAATGTGAACAGGATTTGCCTTCCTGCTATTAACACAGTCTATTGATCTACTACTTTTTCTTTTACAGTGTGTACACACGCACATAAGTAATATCAATGGGTATTTCTGTAGAGAATGCAATTTAAAATAATTCCTGTCATAACAGTATTCAGTCCTCACTGTATATTTTCTTATTTCAGCACAATAAAGCTCTGTGCAGTCCATAAATAGGTTCTTAACCGCTATCTCTTGCCTTGTTAACAGAGAAGAGGGATGTGTACATTTCTGACATGAGGCTATTTGTCCACCAAAGCCAAGCTATGATTTACAAATGAAACATTAGTACCTTTAATTGCAATATTTCTATGATTGCTAACAGAAATCAATACAGCTTCTACTGTGAAATAACAGAAAACACAATGTTATAACACACATTTATACAAATAGTTTAACAATTTATGGCCTTTGGACACTATCACACCAGGCATACATCTTCAAAGAAGCCAGAATTCAACAAGAAGCAAAGGAAAACAAAAAAATAAAAAAGGAAAAGCTCCTATTTTAGCACTCTGTTACCAATGTCTAACTACATATAACCAGATACTGCTTAAAGTACAATTGATTCTATTTATTTTAATATGGTTATATCCAAACATATTAACAAGTTGCTATCATTTACAAAATTTACCATGTTCTGAATAATACAGAAAAACTGATATCTAAACATATTAAATCAACCGTCTGGGGGATGAAAAGTTGGAAATATTTTCTTTTAAATTATTTTGGTCTCTGTTCATGTGATTGAAGAAAAGAACTTAATATTTTGAAGTGTTTAATTATTTTTTTCTCTCTCTTTTTGTTATGCTCCCATTTTAATGTAATTTAGAAGAGCCCCAGTTTTAAATGACATGAAATACCAACATATTTTCAATTCAGATGTGCTAAAAGTGAAATGTTTTTATGTTGTTAGACACACAAAAGCATAGCCTTAACGTGAATCAGATTCAGTTCTGTTTTTATTTGTATTAGTTAACAAAGAATTGTACTTTACTATTAAACAAAAGCTATGCAGAGCATGTTTGTTGGTTTAGTTAATATTTCTGCACATTTTTGGTTTATTTAGAGAAACAAGTATAAAGGTCATTAATTTCTTCTGACTATGAAGATATTATAAACCATTGCTTAATATTTGTTAGTTGCTGTATTCATATTTCAATAGCACCCAAAATGTACTAGGCACTGTACAAACATGTATGAGGAGATAGGCCCTGCCCCAGACAGATTATACCCTAAAATACCATAAATCAGGTATTAAAAGCATTTATGATTTGAAGCTATGATTTTCAACGGACCCTAAGGAAAATGGGCACCCAAAATCCATTTAATTGTGATGGGAATTGGGTGCTTAACTCCATTAAGGCAGTTTTGAAAAATCACAGCCTAAATTCTTGACTTCAGAAGAGTTAAAATTTGTTAGAACATTGGTATATACAGTACTACTAAGAGCAGAATTGCCTCACCACTTATATTATACTTGATCCTATTTTAAATATTAGCAAATTGACAGAATAATTTAAAACACAATCTGCCATAAAATTTACTTATTCTTTTCTAATCCATGCTGGTCTTTATGAAAATATTTGGTTCAGCAATTTTACCAAGATGTTAAAAAAAAAAAAAAATGAAGAGTGATTCTGATCTCACACCACTGTAAATCCAGAATAACTGTATTCAGATTAATGGAGTTACAACTCCTGTTAGATTGGTGAATTGGGAAACCAGGCCTTAATATTTATAGAGTACCCAGAATTGCCAACCCAAAGTGTTCAATAATCAGGAGTCAGGTCTTTAAAAATTATGTTTTTTTTTTTAAATAGAGTGGGGGTTCTTTTGATCTATCATCTAGTTTCTAGGCCATTAAATACACTCTGGTCACATTTACAAGTTTCTCTGTGACCAGGAGGACTAAAAACTTACTCTTTTAAAAAATAAAAGCTGAGATTCTCTTGTAGCTATCTGACTCCACAAGCTGGAGCTTTAAGAAAAACGCTAACAATTGTGAGACTTGTGATGAAATCATGAAAGCTGACAACACTGAGTACAACAGAGATAGGAACTGCTCTCAAAACAGCATCATTCTAGGTGACAGATTTTGAGATAGTAGTGTTGGGGGGTCTATCAGGAGAAGATTTTTAAATGTGTGTGTTTTAGTTTCTCCATTCTTCCCCTTCATGTTTCTACCTCCACACTCTGACACCTCAGTAATCTCTTCCCACTGGGCTCTGTTCAGCAAAAACACAGATTTTCATGTTTTTTGCAGCTGAACCTCTAGGGCAGAGGTGGGCAAACTACGGCCCGCGGGACCCTCCTGCCCGGCCCTTGAGCTCCTGGCCCGGGAGGTTAGTCCCTGGCCCCTCCCTGGCTGTTCCTCCTGCCCCGCAGCCTCAGCTCACTGCGCCGCCGGCTGTAGTGCCGCCAGCCACCAGTGCTCCAGGCAGCGCGGTAAGGGGGCAGGAAGCAGCGGGGGTTGGATAGAGGGCAGGGGAGTTCGGGGTGGTGGTAAGGGGGCGGGGGTGTGGATAGGGGTCGGGGTGGTCAGAGGGTGGGGAACATGAGGGCAAGGGTCCCGGGGGGC